CAGAGAAAAAGAATGTTCTCATGAAATTATGCATTCATCTTCCGTCTCCATTTGCTGACATACAGAATCCATGTAATTGGATTTTCTCCTTGGGGAAATCTAAGGGAAATAGGTCCACTGCTGTCACATTTCCAATATGGCCATTGTCCACCCACCTTTCTCAGCTTTCTCAAGGGAACTTTGACTTCCGGCCCCTTTTAAATTAGACACGCATCTCAGAGAACGTTGACTGCGTGCCTTCCCAGTTTCAGCCATGGCTCCTCGGCAGGTCATGGTACCTAAGAGGGATGTGAGTCACGTGTTACCGGGTTTGGGAGGGGATAGCCCTAGACAAAGGGAGAGTGTGCCTGTAGCATTCCCCTCAAATCCAGTCATCCATGCGTCCACCCATCCACCCACCCACCCATCCATCCATCCGTCATCCCGCTCAGCATGTATTTATCCAGCACCTGGTACAGCGCCTATAGCAGGCACTCAGCAGTTATTCTTGGCCAGCCCCCAAAGGCAGCGCCACACAGTAAGAGAGCAAGTTCTGAAGCAAAACCACCTGGATGCTACCGTATGCAGTGCGACCTTGGGCAGGTCAGCTCACCTCCCTGTCTCTCGGCATCCTTTTTAAGTTGGGATAAAATTAGCAGCTAACCCACAGAGCCAGAATCCAGCAATACGTGTAAAGGGCTTATCACAGTGCCTGGGCTGGGCGTGGGGTCACAGTGAGCACAGAGCCTTCTTTTGGCTTAAATTCTTGAGGGGCTATAGATGAATAAATAAACAGGTGAATAAACAAACTAGGAAACCGAAGGGGTCTGTGATGTGGAGAATGCTGGTGGTGGAGGCTACTGAGATCAGATGACCTGGAAAGGGCCCTCTGCATACCTGTAGGATGGAAAAGAGCCAGCTGGAGGATGGTCCAGGCACAAGGCAGAGCAAATGCAAAGGCCCTAAGGGGGAGAGGGTATGGAATGTTCTAGAACGAGGCAGAAGGCGTGTTGGCTGGGGGAGAACGAGCCACAAGGACGGTAGGCGTCATGCACTAGGACGGTGAGGTTGTGAGCACTTGGGAGGTGGTGGAAGGCGTTGGGATTGTATCCAAGTGGGATGGGGAGCCGTTCAAGGGTTTTCAGTGGGGCAGTGGTATGACCCCAGCGTGGGACCTGGACACTGTCACCGCCCTGGGCTCTTCACAGCCTAAGGGAAACACGCAGTGGACCGCCTGCCACTGAGACGAAATCGGAGTCGAGAGGGGATGGGTTCTGATAGCGGTGTGGGGATGTCCAAGTCCCAGTTCCCAGACCCACGGGACGGAGCGTCGGCCTCAGAGGCCAGGCCACGTGGCTTCCCTCCGTCTCCTGTTCCAGTCCCTCGTGGGAAACTGAGGCTTGAGAAAGCTCTGGATTTTCTGAGCCCTCCGTCCTGGGGCTGCTGTGGGAAAGGCCGCGCCTCCGTCCTCACGGAGCATCAGCCCCCGGCTGGGCTCCGTGTGGGAAGATGTGCCACTCACAGTGGCGTCAGTGTGTCTGTGCTGTGTCGGCGTTTCTTTTCCAGACTCTGAGGAAAACTCAAAAAGGGGTGTGTCCTTCCGTGTCTTAGCTGTAGGGGGACACTCTCAGGCTGTCCTCAGGAGCCCCCATTTCAACCTCTGTCAATAAAAGGAGACATAGGATAGGACTGAGGAACTCGCTAGAGCTCAGAGTATGAGGGTGCTTGTACTTCTGTGTAAGTGGCATTTGGACACAGTGAAAAACAGTGGGGCTCCTTAGGCAGAAATAGTCATGGGTCTTTGTCTTACTGGACTGAGTGACATTTTAAAACCTCGTCATTCATTTTACTGCCATTAAAGCCCCACATTCTTGGTGTCCACCAGCTCGCTGACTGCCGTCTACCAAATGTTCATCCTCCCACATCTCCGGCTTTCCAGACGGATTTTCCGTGTTTCTCCTCTGTGAAGGGAATCATCTTCTCGGACATCCATCTTTCAGTTAGAAAGCCTTGCAATGCTCTGTCTTTGGTCTACAAATTCCTCCTCTTTGTGCTACGGTTCTTAGTATTAAGTGTATTCATATACCTTGATTTGTCCAAAAGGAGGATCCAACATTGTTAGGAACAGAATTACTAAATTATTCATAAGAGATAAGTAAAATAAAATGATTATTGAATAGTAAAGCATTAATAAGTAATCATAATTTCAATTATATTAAATTTTCCTTTTCGCCTTTCTCTGTGATCTTGAAGCTTGCTAAGCTCCCTCCTTCACCAAAACCGTTAGGCCTTGACGGGTCCCACCTCACTCGGGCGATGGCTTCTGTCCTCGCTGTCACCTGTGCTCTGGGCACCGGCCACCTGTTGCTCTGCAGCTCTGCCCCCTGCCCCTCTCTGCCCCCATCTCTCCAGCCTGTTCCTTTAGATGACCCCCTCGCCTCTTCACACCCCATCTCTCTGCTCCCCTTTAGAACCACCCTCTGGAAAATGTCCATGATCTCCCCTGTCCCCACCTCCTGGGCCCACCGCTGCAGCTGCCCCGGCAAGGTCGCCAGCCTCCTACCCCTTCCTGAAGCTCTCGGCCACGTGAAGCACGACCACCAGCTCCTTCTCCAAACCCCCATCACCCCCCCTGCCCGCCCTCCTTCTTCTGCTTCTGACCTCCAGGCAGGGCTGCTGGCAGCGAGCCTGCCCCGGGGGCCCTGTGACACCCCGAGGAGGGATGCTTAGGAGATGGGAATTTGAGGCCAAAAGCCGAAGGGAGGTTAACCTCCTCCAGCCAGATTTATCTCCTCCTGAGCAGAGGGAAAAGTGAGGGGTGTGGAAGGGTCTGTGAGCTTTGTCAGTGAGTGTGAGAGAGGCTGCCTGCCTTTTAGATTTCTGGCACTGTCTTCTCAAACACTCGCTGTTAAGTAGAGTGCAACTCAGACCCGCTGTGAGGGTCTAACTGATTTAAACCAGGCATGTCCTAAATAAATCGAAACCCATATAAAACGGGGAGGTGACTCTCAGTTCTGGACTCGGCTGGGGGAGGGTCTGAGAAATCTGACTTTGTAAGAAACGCTCTCTCATCTGTTACATTTGCAGCGTTGCCACTTTGATTTCTTCCCTTCCACATTTATCAGGACTCTGGTTGCAAAACCCAACTGGAACCAGCTGAAGCAAAAGAGAGGGGGTTCTTGAGGAAAAGGAGAGGCAAAGTGGGCCCCCAAGGCAGCTGGAAGATTTCCTCTTTTCTGTCCTTTGTCGCAGCTGGTGATGGCTGGGTTTTCCCCGGGGCAGCATCCTCCTGCAGCCAGGGCCAGGCCGAAGGAGGCCCTGAGTGCATTTGTGTGTAGCTTTGAGAACAAAGAGGAAAGACCTCTACTCCAGAAGCCCTAGCTCCAGGCAGGCTGCAGGGAAGCTTAGAGATTGGTTAGCTTGGGTCCCACACTCATCTCGGGACTGGGGGTGGAGCGACCCCAGCAGAACCTAGTGGTGCAAAGTGCATTCCCTGGGCGGACAAGGAAGGGCGGACAGCATCATTGCTGCGTACTGCACCTCCTGCAAAGTCCAGTATTTAAAACAACTCTCGACTCGTTATTGCCCAGACAGATAAAATCCAGAGATGTTTAGAGCTCTTCCCTTCTTCCCACCAACCTGGCTCCCCAGATTCCAGACCCTTGGGTCTCCTGGCCTTGCCATCCTCTGTCTGGAATCCCCTTCTCCCAGCCCTCCTTAGCCTGGCTGACTCCCCCTGTGTTCTCTCTAAAGCCTCCCCTTTTCACTACCCTCCACCTGCTGTGCGTCCTTTCACCCAGTAAGACTCTGTTCCTGCCTCTGTGACAGCCCTCCCCTTATGTTTTGTCTGTCACCTCACCAGGCAGTGTCCTTATTTATCTTTATATCCCAGCAGCTGGTATAGCACCCAGCACGTAGGTCGGTGCCCAGGAAATACTTGTTGCAGTGATGTTGAGAAGGATAGAATGTGCATATGACAGCAGAAATCACAAAATAGTCTAAAACCTAAACAAACTCAGGCTTTGCTACCATCAGTGAAGATGTAGTAGATTGCATGCAGTTTTAGTTAGGTGTTGCTTCTCTACCAAGTCATCTTAGAAATTCAGTATTTCCACGTGTCCAAAATCATTCTTCCTCACCTCCTACAGCACTGTTTCTAACATTTCATTGTTGTTTTACTTAAATAAATTTATTTATTTTATTTATTTATTTTTGGCTGCGTTGGGTCTTTGTTGCTGCGTGTGGGCTTTCTCTAGTTGCGGCAAGCGGGGGCCTCTCTTGTTGCGGAACACGGCTCTAGGCGCACAGGCTCAGTAGTTGTGGCTCACAGGCTCAGTAGTTGTGGCGCATGGGCTCTAGAGCACAGGCTCAGTAGTTGTGGTGCATGGGCTTGGTTGCTCCGCGGCATATGGGATCTTCCTGGACCAGGGCTCGAACCCGTGTCCCCTGCATTGGCAGGCGGATTCTTAACCACTGTGCCACCAGGGAAACCCCTCGTTGTTTTAAACTATCCTTTGACATTTTAATATTGACAGCTGGCTCCCTCACCTGCAGGAGAACTAGCAGGGCCAATATTGTGGGTCCAAAATTATTTTTCCAGCGGGTAGCTGAGCTGCTGATTCTAGCTAGTGGGGCCTTGTGACTTCCAGAAGGGCGGTTCTCCCAACTCAGAAATCTGCGTGTGCTGTTCATAGCAGGGTGTGTGCACGTGTGTGCATGTGCACGTGTACACACACGCCTGTGTGTGTTGGAGGCATGAGGCGGGAACGGGTGAGGAGAGCACCACGTGGACTCTGGGGGCCACTGTTCAAAGCACATGCATCTGAATCTCACCTGCCTGAGTCTCATCCTGGCTCTCCCTGGGTAACCTGAACAGGTGAAGGCCCTACAGGAGCCTCAGCAGGTCATCTGTAAAATAAGGAGGGAATCAGATCCATGCCACGCTACAGCCTAGACATCCACAAGCAACACATCACTGCGACTCTACGCTCATCTTTTATGTTGTTTTTATTTCTCCACAGAGGCCTCATTGCCAGCGGTTTCACAGAAACCCACTATCTGCAAGATGGCACTGACGTCTCCCTCATCCGAAATTACACAGTAAGTCATGCATGCTTGGACCACCACGATACTCTGCTATCAGATCTGTGCTTAAACTCTAGCTGTTTTATTCTAAGCAAAGTCACGGCCTAGATCTTTCACTTAGACCCCAAGACAAGTTTGAGCATTGCTTACGGTTTGGGCGTTGCATTATAACTCCAGAAAAACACAGCTTTGGCCAGGCATGTGCCAGGACAGTCCTTGAAGGTATGGCTTGATTGGAGGCTGACACTGAACCCACCTGCCAGTGACCATGGGATGCTAAGCTGGGCAAATCCATCCTGGAAACCAAGCCCAAATTAGAGACGGCTCAGAAAGCAGCCACCCCTGGGCTGAACTTGGCTGCATTAAAGTTGTAAGTCCCTTAAAGAAATTCAAAGGAAAACTGACTCTGCTTAACCTTTCATAAATATATCCACCGTGTCCATATGATTCTATATCATGGTTGTTACTGGAAAGTGACATTTATCACCTCTTAGCTTCTCTAGTATCTGAAGTTTTACATGTAACTTAGACAAGATGCGAACTTTATTCATTTATTCCTCTGAACAAACGCTTAGTGTGCTCAGGCCCAGGTGGGAACGTGGGCATTAAAGAGAGTTGCTGCCCTCTGAGGACCAGGATGGTTACTTGTTTTAAAGAGCTATGGGTGGGGCTTCCCTTCCCTGGTGGCGCAGTGGTTTGGGAGTCCGCCTGCCGATGCAGGGGACGCGGATTCGAGCCCCGGTACGGGACGATACCGCGTGCCGCGGAGCGGCTGGGCCCGTGAGCCATGGCCGCTGAGCCTGCGCGTCCGGAGCCTGTGCTCCGCAATGGGAGAGGCCTGCGTACTGTGAAAAATAAATAAATAAATAAAGAGCTATGGGTATTCGTTTTAAAAAGAATAAGCTTAGAGAAAGGCTTTACATTTACAACTTAAATGTCGTCAAGTAGCCATTATTGTCGGCAGAATTTTTGTTAATGCCTGACCAAGCTTGGGAGAGTCAAAGAAATCCCTGGGAAGCAGAAACAAACCAGGGGTGTAAGCTCAGAGCACTAAGCTGGTGAGTTGAGGTCACGGGACCCCAACGGGCTATTCAGGACCCAGAGAGAGGACCCCGTGCTTGGGGGTTGGGACCAAAGAAGTGGGCATCTGCAAATGAGAATCCCGCGAAGGCTGGGGCCCCAGAGAGATGCTTCCTCTGTGAAAAGAGGGACAAGTAAAACTTCAGTCCAGAGAAGGGGCAACAGAGAGAATTGTCTCCAGGTGTCCTGGATTGAACAAAGATTTCATAAAAAATAGAGAAAGTGAAACCCGAGCTAGCCTCATAAAGTGTATATTTGGAATGGGGTGGACTGGTGTTCAAATTTCTAATACCAGCATAGGAATGGAATTCCCAGTAAATGTTGACCTCAGAACTGGTCCCAAATCAGCAACCCTGCGTCCCATGGGCCCAAGCTGAAGTCAACTGAAAATAGTTCTATAGGGATATTTCTACAGCCCAGGGTACCTGAGATTCCCACGTCAAAAACAAAGAAGAAGAAGAATATTATCAAAGATGACCCAAAATCAAAATTACAAAACACACGATTAACAAAAGCCAGCATAAATGACAAGGGAAATGAGAATTAGCACCTCCAGGAATGTGAGATCATAGAAAAGTCAGACGAGAATCTGAACTATTTTAAAGAGAACAGAATAGGTCCAATAAAAATTCCGGAGTGAAAATACAGGGGAAAAAAAAACTAAAGAAGCACCAACAATGCTCCCCCTTCTGCTTAAGCCATGGGATGGGCAGTTTGTTTCTCAGTGGTGTCATTAAGGACCAGTTGTTGGTTTTAGAAGGCGGAAGGGACAGTGAATACAGATTTGTCCCTACTGAGCCTGTGGTGGGACAGCGTAGTAAAGATGTTCAGTAGGCAGATAGCTGTATGACCCTGGAGCACAGGATAAGGATGGCGGCCACAAAAGAAGACCTGAGGGTCCATCTGAGATATAAGTAATCATTGGTGCCCTGACTTCATTTGACTTTTTCTTTTCTCTTTTTTTCTCCTAAGAGGATGTCATTTATACGCCTCTAGAATTAGCACAAAAGCTCTCCTTACAGTGTAAATTGTTGTTCCGAATAGAAACAGAAAAAAGAGATCCTAGAAATACTTGACAATAGGCTCACATCCTCCGAATCTCCCTTATAGATGATAGTGAAGGTGCTTGTTGATTACAGACCATCTAGAAGATGTAAGATATTCTTCCAAAGTTATTTTAATAGTTTCATGTTTTCTGTCTCCATCTCCCTGACCAATTTCCTCTTCTTAGGGCATTTTTGGTCCTTTTTTCTCATCTGGGAAGAAAACATATGATAAGAGAGAAGAAATGGAGGACTAGATAAATGAGGGTCCAGCAGCCACTGGGGCTGTTTGGGACTTGGATTGCGAAGGCTGAAGGCTATAAATCCAGGCATCTTAGAAAACAGCCTGGATGGAAGGGCACTGGAATGTTGATGGTAGTTGTCTCTGGTGGAGACTCCGTATTTTTCTGTTTGGGCTGATTGATGTATATATGGGGTGGTGGACAGGTTACATTTCTCATCTTTCCATGAGGTCACTGTATAGACAGGCAAACACCTCCCCCCACCCTGACTCACCCCCTCACTCCTCCCCATGGAAGCATCTTCTCAGGGAGAGGAGGGCGAGAGGAAGCAAGTCCTGGCAACCGCTGGTCCCTGCTAACTGGGGAAGGGGCAGAGCCCCTGCTTTGGAAAGGCCGTGAGCTAGCCTTGCTGTCTTCCCTCGGCCGAGTGTGGTTGAGCCCTGCCGGCCCCTCTGTGGAGTGTTCCAAGCAATGGTCTGCTGCAGCACCAGCTTCACCAAGATGGGTCCTCAGGCTTGGCTAATGAGAGCAGGGTGGGGAGATGAGGGGAGACGAGGGTTAGAAATTGCAGGAAGCCTCACTTCTGCCCTGACCTAAGTTGTGTCCTCTGATGGAATATACCAGAAAGCCCTCTTTCAGAAGTAGTTAAGCTCGTAGTGTATTTTGATCTTCATTGGACTCTTGGATTCTTTCTTCAGTAGGTGAACCAACTGGAGGCTGGGTTAATCGGCAACCCGAAACCTCCAGAAACGGCAAGCATATATTGCTTTTACAATTAGAAAAACAGTGACTTTTCTCGTAATCTGGGGCCACCTTCCCCCATTTCTTTGAGTGCCTGTTCTGAGCTGTCAGCCACGTTACTGTAAAGATGGGTGAACAGTCTCGTTCACTGAAGAAAACCCTTAGCCCTAGACAGCCCATCTTCCAGCAGAAACCCTTTAAGGGGAGCTCAGGGCCTCATACTGTCTTTCGTGGTGAGGACACAGATGCAGCTTTGGAGGTTTTGTTTCTACTGAATCGGGCTGGGAAACAAAAAGAAATGTGCTGATTCATCCCCTTTTCCCCCAAAGTCAGCACACAATGGATTTCCCTAAATTTAAAATTATATATAAAATAAGAACCACTTTTTCGCTAGCATCTTTCTTTTTTAAATTTAATCTCTCAACAATCAGTGTAAGCTGGTTGACAAGCAAACTAGTGGCTGATTTTAATTTTGGAATTGATCCCCTGTCTTTTATCTCTCTATTATCCTGACAGGATGAAATATTTGTGGCTTAAGCCCTTGCTGGCCACATCTAAGGGAAGATTATGTCTTATACTGTCTCTTTTAATAAGGCCTGTGGGAGACAATGCCCATGATATTTATGTTGTCTACATCCCAAAAGACAACTCTGGGAAAGGCCAGAATGCCCTCCAGAAAGTCTCCTAAACGCTGTCAGTGCTTTGGTCCAAACACATCCTTCTATTACATGCATGTTAACTGAGCATCCCCGTTGTGCCAGGCCCTGTGACTCCCACTGACGATAAAAACAGACAGGAGACCCACATGGAGCTGGAGGGTAGAGACTGACATTATTCCAAGAATCACAGACCAAATTAAAATCTGTGCTAAGTGCACCGGAGGAAAGGCGAAGGGGCCTAATCTAGTCTAAGGAATCATGGAAGACTTCATGGAGGAAGGAACATGTGAACCAAGATCTGAAGTTTAAGGAGGCATGAACCAGAGGATGGGAAAGGGAAGGACGTTTCTGGCTGATGCCAACTTTTACTTGGAAGTGGGGAAATGTCTACAATTTGACAGGGACCAGAGTATGTAGGACTTGGAGGCCAAGGTGACAATTTGGTTGTCATGGAGGAGGAAGCCATTAAAAAGTGTCAACCAAGGGGATGTCATAACTAGGGGTAGACTTTGGAAGATTCCACTGGCTGCAGCTTGAAGGTCATCAGAGGGTCAAGAGCAGAGATCCAGCAAGGTCAGGCAGTTGGCTCTTGTGGAAGAGCCCAAAGCCCGGGTAAGAGGAGATGGTGGCTGCTGGGACCATGGGCATGAAGAGGGCGAGAAGGAAAGAGATCTGACCTTCTACACCTGAAGGGTTCCATTTGTTGTATGTGTTTCTCATTCAAAAAATTTATGAAAACATTTCCTATAATAGACGTCCAAAGGGGACCTTCAATATTAACTGAGGCTGGACCATCAGACAGGCGTGAAATCCCATATCTTGATCAAAAGTATTGTTTGAGTGACATCCCATTCATTTCCACGGCAAATGTGTTTCCTATCAAAAAAGAGTAGAACCTTTTACAATCGGCTAGGACTGAACATGTCAGGGCAAATGGGTATTAGAGAGTCAGCTACATCTCATCTCTGTTAGAGAACATCTGAAGAGGATGGAAGATGATTCTGGGGGTAGGAGGGAAGGCAGAGACCATTCTCGTCTCGTACAGGTACTAGGTACGAGCTAGGCCTGTTATCACATTCTTAAAAAATGATTTAAAATGGACTTAACTTCCCTAACATCTCCATACTCTCTGCACGTCTAATTCATCTGCTCTTCCGGGCTTGCCTCTGTCTCAGAAGGCTGCTCCGTCCTCCCACTGACCAAGGCACTACACACCCCCTCTTCCCCTCAGGTCCTCGCCGTGTCCTGTG